TTCTTCCAGCATGTCAGCTCTGTCGGCTGCGGCCCTCAGGTCCTTTATGTCCGCCTCCTTTACTCTCACCCTGATCTCAGGAGAGAGCACGGACATAAACTTCTCCATGACCATAAGCCTCTTGACATCCTCAGCCGACTTCGCTCCTTCAGACTCCAGCCACTTAAGGAACTTCCTCTCCATGTTCCTCGCTGTCTCCGCATAAGATTTTCCTGGCGAACGGGTACATTCCCTGAATCTCTTCCTGTAACATTCCGGCGTGAGCTTGAAAGAATGGAGCACAGCTCTCTTTACAGCATCGTAGTTGGTACACTCTGGTACAGCCTTGGTGGAGGCTGACTCCATACACAGTTTCAAATGTAGATATGATAGAGCCCAGTAGGCTCAGGAATCTGTACACCAGTTGATTGACAGTTGAGAGGCGGGACCAAAGAGTCAAAGCTCAACCCTCGCAAGCACAATTAGGTGAGTACAATTAGGTGAGTACTCTTGGAGGTCGAGCATATTGTAGGCTTCACGAGCTTCACCGGTGAGCCTACCCTGAACCAGCTCCGCCCACTCCGCTCTCGGCCACTTCTTCAAGGTGGCGACCCTCTCGAAGTGGTCGAAGAAACCTTCAGCTTCATTTGGTACAAAGACCGGCAAATCTCGCTCCCTCACTCGACGGTCTTCCTGCTGTGGCGGAACAGGTGGAGCTAGCCCTAGCTCAGCTCGCTTCAGCTCCACATCCTTGTTAGCCTCTATCTCCTGTTGTTTCAGCCTAGCTTCTAGCTCGCACTCCTCTCGCCTTAGCTGTGCTTCTTCTCTCCTCAGCTGTGCTTCTCGCTCTTGTTCCTCACGCTTCAGTTGCGCTTCCCACTCTTCCCGCTTCAGCTGTGCTTCTCGCTCCTTATGCTTCAGCTGTGCTTCTCGCTCTTCACGCTTCAGCTGTGCTTCTCACTCTTCACGCTTCAGCTGTGCTTCTCGCTCCTCACGCTTCAGCTGTGCTTCTCGCTCCTCACGCTTCAGCTGTGCGTCTCGCTCTTCACGCTTCAGATGTGCTTCCAGCTGCAGCTTCATTATCTCCAGCTTAATGCTGCGCCTGCTGCCGCTGGATCCCCTGCTGCTTCCACCAATGCTCAGGTGTTCTCCCATATTGGCAGGTGTTTGTGGCCGTTCCTCCCCCAAAGCTTCATCTCGTGCTCTAAGCTGTGCCATGATCTCCAGTCTTCTCTCTCCCACTTTGGAAGATCTCAGCTTTACCCCAAAATGGTCTGCTATTGATTGTAACTGTGCCTTGGTGCACTCCTCCAGCACCTGCTCATCTATAGTGTCAATGAACCATGTTACTTTATCATCCTCCATCTTGTGCTATGAGTGATAACTTGTACCTGATACCTAATACCACTGCAAAGTACCACAACTGCAACCTCTATCTTGATCGTTATCCTGGCGAGGTCGCCAATGTCGGGGTTCACCACCATAAGAGGGGCGAGTAACAGTATACTCAAGGTCACTCACCGTAGCCCGGCGGGTCTTCACTCTATCCTTGCGGCGCCACTGTACGCCAGGAGAGTATCCCAGTCAATCCCAACCGGCATCTGATCGAGAAAGAGTGGGAACACAACTTGTTCTCTTAACTATTGTGTGCCCGCCCCGACACAGGGCTCTACTACTAATCACAAGGTCGCCAACTGGTGTTTCCTGTGTCCAGTAACACGTCAGTGGTTTCGTTGAATTGTGGTAGCAGTGGCAAGAACACACTCTATAGATCTGATATCAGGCAGGTATTTATTTCTATCACTCTATTTCCTTTCAGGTATTATATAGCCACAAGAAATATGGAGGGGATGATATAAACACCAAGGTATTTTGTATTTTACTTAAAACTCAAGACATCACAAGATTATATCAATAAGCAAACAACTGTTTCATGCGGAAGTCGCTCGTTCTCACAAATAATCATGAACTCGCCAAGCTGGCAATGCTCCCCCTCACGTCAATGTCAAAATCAGCTGGGCGACTCCCACTGCGCGAATGTTCGTTTATTTGTTTGTCTGGCGTGAGGCGCCTGTTTCTTTAAATTCTCAAGGATCACTAAATGCTCAGACACACAATATTTGCGACAATAGCACGTAAATACTTCGCTGCACTGATCTTGAGCTCAATCAAACATTTCTATATTAATGGACACAATAATTCACTATGATGGTATAACACACTGCCCTTCATTTAATGATAACGTATGCAAGTATATATCACTGGAGTTCTCAGTAATTCCTTTCGTGGGCGAATATTCAATTAATCACTGCACACATGAATGGTTATTCAATACACAAGCATCGACATATATATATATATATATATATATATATATATATATATATATATATAGATAAATCATAGATATCAATAATGGTAATAATATAGTTACTGGGCACTTAGCCTATCACCAAATACTGGCACATTTATATATATATTCTCTCACTAAATGATCATATTAAAGTCTCATGAAAGACATTATCAACACAGTAAATTCATCAATTACTCCGGGTGCCTGCACACACCAATAATATTCATAAATACCGTGAGGACTCTATGTAGCCCCACTCTGCACCTTGTGCCTTACTGTGACATAGGTGAGCCTTGCTCACGACATACAAAATACTCTGGCTAAATAATATAGCTGACTAAAGGGGAATTGGGAGGGAAACTAGAATCACCTACTTCCACCTATTCTCCGGTGAGAGTTGAGATGTAGCTCCTGGTCCAGGCTCCTGCCTCGTGTAACGAACGCCCCCACACACACCCTGTCGTGTCCTCCAGAAACTCAATCAACGTCCCACCATAAACGCGTCATCTCCGTGCCTTTCCACTGCAGGTCCGTGCTCCTCCGCGACTTCTCATAGGGTTGGAGTCGGTCTCCTGGCCGTCAACTTCTCCTCCCAGCTATGGCTGCCTGCCTACGTCTCGGCTGCAGTCGTTCGGATTCCCGATTTGTCTTCTTCACTGCTTCCCAGTGGATTGGCCCAGTCGCTACGTCGTCACTGTGAAGCTATCAGACGTCCCAGACGATACTGCCTAGACTCCACCTGCACAGCACCCGATCCTGGAGCACTTGATGCTCAGTATTCCGTCAATTCCCTCTTCGGTCCACACATGGAATGAAGGAAGACCTCTGGCGTACTTGCAGACTACGGGTGACGCGTAAGATCCACGGGAGTGGCGTGTTACTGTCAGATTGACAGGATCAATCTTCACACATCCGACCACCTTGACGTGTCCTGTCAGACTGATGGCGCCGCCATGGCGCTCTGACCGGACCCCCCTTCCTTCGTGACGTCATATTCGCCATGGGAGGTTTTCATTGGCTCCCTGTGCCACATCACTGTCGGTGACCAATCTGGTGCCACTGACGTCACACAGTTTTGGCGGCAAAACAGAGTAGCCAGCGCCATATTGGCTTCCTAAAGGGCCTAAACCACAAGCCAAAATACTCTTCTTTTACAAATTTCTCGATACCTCGAGAACACTACACTCTCCCACATATATCAAACTGATGCCTGCGACGTAGAGAATGCTCGGGTAAAGTGGACATGACTCTTACAGCAGGCATGGGAGAAATATAAGGGGGGAACACCATCACACAGCACACAGCAAGGGCACTTGTACCACACAATGTTTCGTAACGTTAAACTGTACTTAAAGTGTAACAGACCATTTAACTGTTGGAGTTCTACACTCATACTACACTCATGTAGCTGTACCCTACAGTATACACATTCATGTAGCTGTACCCTACAGTATACACACTCATGTACCTGTACCCAACAGTATATTCACTCATGTAGCTGTACCCAACAGTATACACACTCATGTAGCTGTACCCATCAGTATACAACACACAAGTAGCTGTACCCAACAGTATACAACACTCGTGTAGCTGTACCCAACAGTATACAACACTCGTGTAGCTGTACCCAACAGCATACAATACTCATGTAGCTGTACCCAACAGTATACAATAGTCATGTAGCTGTACCCAACAGTATACAATACTCATGTAGCTGTACCCAACAGTATACAATACTCATGTAGCTGTACCCAACAGTATACAATACTCATGTAGCTGTACCCAACAGTATACAATACTCATGTAGCTGTACCCAACAGTATACACACTCATGTAGCTGTACCCATCAGTATACTCACTCATGTAGCTGTACCCAACAGTATACACACTCATGTACCTGTACCCAACAGTATACAACACTCGTGTAGCTGTACCCAACAGTATACACACTCATGTAGCTGTACCCAACAGTATACACACTCATGTAGCTGTACCCAACAGTATACATACTCATGTAGCTGTACCCAACAGTATACAACACTCATGTAGCTGTACCCAACAGTATACTCACTCATGTAGCTGTACCCAACAGTATACACACTCATGTACCTGTACCCAACAGTATACACACTCATGTAGCTGTACCCAACAGTATACACACTCATGTAGCTGTACCCAACAGTATGCACACTCATGTAGCTGTACCCAACAGTATGCACACTCATGTAGCTGTACCCAACAGTATGCACACTCATGTAGCTGTACCCAACAGTATATAACACTTACGTAGCTGTACCCAACAGTATGCACACTCATGTAGCTGTACCCAACAATATACAGTACTCATTTAACTGTACCCAACAGTATACAATACTCATGTAGCTGTACCCAACAGTATGCACACTCATGTAGCTGTACCCAACAGTATATAACACTTACGTAGCTGTACCCAACAGTATGCACACTCATGTAGCTGTACCCAACAATATACAGTACTCATTTAACTGTACCCCACAGTATACAATACTCATGTAGCTGTACCCAACAGTATGCACACTCATGTAGCTGTACCCAACAATATACAGTGCTCATGTAACTGTACCCAATAGTATATTCACTCATGTAACTGTACCCAACATCGTGTCTGGAAAGGAGTGAGACAACCTACCGTCATCAGACATCTTCTTGAAGCAGAAGCCGCTGCAACTGGTCGTGTTCATCCAGGTGAACTCTGCGGTGCAGCGCTTGACAGTGTCGCAGGAATAGCAGCTCACGTCGCCTTTATTACCATCACATGCTGCAGTAATAATAATAATAATAGTAATAATAATAATGATGATGATTAATAATAATATTAATAATAATAAAAATGATAATACTTCTACTACTACTAATAATAATAATAATAACAATTATTATTATTATTATTATTTTTAATCAATTGTTTACATGTCCCATTGAAATTAATATATTAGTAATTATTCATAAAAAGCTAAGGTTGAGATAAGGCGCACAAAAATATATATTAATTTAACATTATTCACACAAAATGCAACACTTATACTTACACTAATAATACACAAAATCAAAAACACACAGTACAAAACACATACACGCTTGCACTCAATATAACATTTAAGCACAAAGCATTTCACACATAAATATTCCATTTACACAGAAAATATAACATTTACACACCAGATATGACATTTATGCACATAAATATATTATTTACGCACAAAATATGCCATTCACACATAAAATACATCATTTATAGACAAATATGACATTTACATACAAAATATGTCAGTTGCGCACAAAATATACCATTTACACAAATATTACATACACTCAAAGTATAACATTTACACAAAGTTCGGTATTTGCATAAATATAACAAATTGTATATGCGCTCATTCAACCAAAAAGTGCTTTCACTAATATTACACAATTCCATAAACATAATTTTCACAAAATTCTCACATAAACCAAATAAACCTCATAAACTCATAAATCATAATACATAATAAACCATAATACATTTGGTCTCATAAACCAAATACAATTTCACACTTGCACATGAAGATCTATTTTTCAGAAAAGATATACAGAACTTACACAAATACACAATTCGCACAAAAAAAACAGTTTCACTAGTTCCACTTAAACAAAATAAAAACACAACTTGCATAAATCCACTATTCGCACAAAACGATTATAAAACATGGACAATTATTGAACAATTGTGTAATTAATACACATGTCTGCACAATTAGTACAAGCAAACTTGTTATATAATTACACAACTTGCACAATGACAATCAATACTCAAAGGTATAAATAAACAATTTGTCCATATAACAATACACAATATACACAATTAAAACACAACTTGCACAATTATTACACATCTTTCATAAGTATTACACAACTTGCACAGATACAACCAAATACATATCCAGCACAAATACATGCAATACATAACTATCCCAAATATGTAAATACACAACCAGCATAAATAGACAATTCACTTAAATACTGTTACGACATATACACAATTAATAAACAACGTGAACAAAATATATTCAATACACAACTAGCCAAAATATGAACACAACTCAATTCAACAAATGCACGTACATGCAATTCTCCATGTACAGTTAATACACAACTTGCACAAACAGTACACAATTTGTTGGAATATAATCAACACATAATTACAATCATCATACAACTTTTGCAAAATACATAACCTACACAAATTATACACAACTTGCAAAAGTATAATAATTGTGCTATTTGTACAAATACAATCATAGCCAACTTGGTCAAACTATACACAATTTGCATGATATTTTTCTAGAGATGTTTAGGACATTATTTATAATATGCTGAGTTTAACCAACTCCCCCAAAAGTCAGAATTTCACATGAATGAATGATACGTCTAACATCCTATGAGCTCAATATAAAAACACATACATTTTCCATCAATGTTTCAACATTATTAGTGCTAGACTATTCATCTAACATATGTCCATTGTTTTTAATGCCTTACTAATACCCCCTTGTTAGATCCTCTTCAATCAAATCACCCATATTTATTTAGGCAAACCATCCAACAGACTTATTGGTTCCAGCCTTAGTTATGTCAGGGCAGGTGGGGTTAGGTGAAGTCAGTAATTTCTATGATAATTTAAGCAAATTTACTGTATCGTATTAAAAATACTACCAATTAGAACCTAAATTCATCTAATCTATAAAAAATTATACTTATTATTATAGTTTGGGTTGGTGGTGTTGTCGTGTTCTTCCTCCTTTGCAGACAACCCAACCCACAACTCAGTAGAGTGCTTATACCTCACTAGGAGATCACCCTGGGCGCTTCTGGCTCTTGGAGAGGGGGCTCAACGTCACACGTTTAGGGGATGGGGCTCCAACACTTAGCCTCGTTGTCACGTGCACACACCCACTCGAGCCGCTGTGACTCCCCACTCTCTCCTTATGAGATATGATCTCCTCAATCCCCTTTGACTTATTAGTATTACCTTCTACCATGTCCACAGCAGTGGTTCTTGGTTCTTTCTCTCTCTCTCTCCTTCTTTACTACCTCCTGGGAAGCCTAACTAGGACAAGGGCAAACACCAGCAAATTTGAATACATTTACTGGACCAAGCACATACACAATACATACACACATATAATAATAATACTGAATCCTACACTCTATACTATTTCAGTCAGGTTGCACTCCAACACTATCAGAACTCTATTATCAGCTTATCAAGTGGTATCCTATCTCCTGATTCACCACGTGATACTATCAACCTCCTCAAGTAGATCAAGTCTTATAATACAATGTTGCACTATCAGCATGAGAATATATATATCTATAAACATGTACAAGGAAAATCAGCATATGAGTGCAATAACATATATATATCAGTATAAACGTTCCTTGATACACAACAATGATCAATCGATCACCCTATCAGTCCTAGAACACATACATCTGTAGGTAATCCAGCCTACGACTGTAACTCTAAACATCAGTATAAACACCTTGGTACAAAAATGGCAAACTATCACTCGCCTTTCACCGCGTCTTACACGCTAAAGACAAACACTCTATCAACTCCCTACAAGTGATCATTTAGAACTTCCCTTCCACATCTAGAAGTTCACTACCCTATTATCTTCAGGTTCTTCCGGGCTTAACTACCAGGATTCTCTGCAGCTCCTCCAGGCTGCTACACCATGAAGTTTTCCTTGGGCAACTATGGTGCTTCACCACCTCTACAGAAGCACGTGACACTCCTCTTCACTACTTCTCCTCACAGCTCGAGGTCCTCTCCTCCACTACCTTGGAGTCTCATCAACTACTCCCTCTGTGCTGGCTTCGAAGTTCTCAGCAACTTCTTCCCCAAAGACAAACCTGCAACCCATTGACACTCCAATAAAAAGTTTCCCCTTAAACACATAAACAAAAATAACCACACAATATGCTTGCCTCCAACCTTTATCAGCTCTCTACATACTGTGAGAGTAGACTCCCCCATTTTGGGCTGGTCCATGCTCCACCTTGCCCAGCGGGCCTCACTCACTCTGGGAGGGTCCTCCGCCGTCGGGAGCTCTCAGTCACCTGCTAGCGCTCAGAGGGGATGGACGTCGCTCCGTGTTCCTCCCTCTCCACTCTCATATTTTAGGCCTTCTGCTGTATCAAAATATGTCTAACTTATCAATAAACATTGCTTCTGTCGCTGGGCACACGACCAACTACAAGCAATCACTATGAACTGGCTTAAATCGTGCTTACCACAGATTATCTGGTCGAGGGCGCTCCTCCCTCTGACAGAGCCTGGTCAGGGCACTCCAACGGCCCACGATAATGTCTCTGGGCGGCTTAATAAACACTCCTCGCCGTCCAGGACTTGAGATCACAACGTTCCCAGCTCAGTTCCACAGCTGGCACGTCTGCACATTTCTCTTCTCTTGGAGATATATCATTAGGGGTTCCTTTCTGACGGGAGCTCGAATGGAGCGCGGCTTCCCCCTGCGATGTTTGGCGCTCAAGTGAGATCAAAGCCCTCCAGAAGCGAGCCTCACGCCTCCAGCAAATTATCCACATCTCCTAACCAGTCATTTATCTGTTTTCTTATTCACTGCCCATAATCTCAAATCGTTTATTAAATCCGACTGACTATTTCACATCTGTATCTTCACCTCTATGTTTCCTGGACCTTCCAATCAGGTCAGGCTTGATAGAATAATTCTCAAAGGGGAGACTCGTTTTTCGGCTGCCAGGGACTATAACATTATACAACAAAAATTTAACCAAATTCAACCTAGCAAAAGCTAAACTAACTAAATATGAGCATCCCATAACCTTACATGCAAGCCTATGTCACCTCTGCCCATACATTACATGAGGCAGCTATAGCTCGAACCCCCAAATAGGTAAATTTACACTATTTAATGAACATGCTAGTTCATTACCCCTAAGATATTATATATCCTACCCTACACAACCTCACCTAACCTGACCTAACATATCCAAAGCTAGATTTAATTAAAGTTGGCAAAATTTAAGCTAGTCCCACCTAAATTCAACCTAATTTAAGCCAATTTCCACCAAATATATCCAAATGTTTTGTATCATAGCACGGCCAAAGCCCATTTTTACCCACATTTTCACCTATTCCAACCTATCCTACACGACCTTTCCTAATCTGATCTAGCATATTCAAAGCTAGATTTGATTAAAGTTGGCAAAATTTATGCTGTCTTTCCTAAATTTAACCTATTTTAAGCCAATTTCCACCAAATATACCCAAATGTTTTGTAACATAGCACAGCAAATGCCCATTTGTACCCACATTTTAACCTATTCCAACCTACCCAATACACCACCTTACCTAACCTGACCTGGCATAACCGAAGCTAGATTTCATTAAAGTTAGGGAAAATTTAAGCTATTCCCACCTAATTCCATCTAATTTAAGCCAATTTCCACCAAATATACCCAAATTTTTTGTATCATAGTTCAGCCAAAGCCTATTTTTACCCACATTTTCACCTGTTCCATCCTACCCTACACCACCTTACCCATCCTGGCCTAGCATATCCAAAGCTAGATTTGATTAAAGTTGGCAAAATTTATACTGTCCCACCTAAATTTAACCTAATTTGAGCCAATGTCCATGAAATATACCCATAATGTTTTGTATCATAGCACAGTCAAATTCCATTTTACCCCAAGTTTTCACCTATTCCATCTAAATGCAATGTATATTTCCAA